GAATACCATCTTTCATTTTTTCATAACCACTTTCATTATTCGAATAACTGGAATGGCTTTCTTCCGAATAAAATTCTTGACAAACGTCACTTCCTTCATCTTCATCCAGTGTCCCTTGATCATCACTGAAATCATGGCTCGAATAATGAAAATACCATCACCGAACTTACTTCATTGAGTTACAGGCAACAACTGGACAACAGCATTTGCTTCGGATACATCTCAATAAGCATGATAAAATTAAGACTTTATCATCTACTTTAATGCAAGAGAGTTCAAATTGAATGAGATCACCAATCAAGGGTACAAAAGAAAGTTTGTTGACCAACGTTGTTAGTTTTTGTCAGTGACAGGATATAAGCATTGTTTAACATGCAGCCTATATTTTTTTTTTGGAAAGTAAAGCAAAAAAAAATTTTTATTAGTTCTTTCTTGAAGTACGAACCAACCTTTCTTCGCCCAAATCAATAAAACTATATTTGTTACATTTCGATTTAACTTCGTCAAACTGAGCTCCCATATTGTTTGTGTGCAGCACTAGGGATTTCAAATGCAAACCTTGGCTGACTCTGTCAAGAATTATTTCGACCGCACGTGGACTCAGTTCATTCCCCGATAAGTTGATTTCCTAAAACATACATAATTTCTGTATGGGAATTCATAAATCGCTGCATTTAAAAGGAAAGCAAAAAGTATACTTTTCACTGTCCTTGACTATTTCGGCACCGAACCATTTAGATTTTATCGAAATGGAATTTTTTACGCTTTTCTATTGATTTAGAAAAAATATATATTGGCTTAAATTTTATTCTAACCCAACTAAAGTTTTAACAGAAGATTTCAAATAACAAAGGCGGACACAAAGTAATGAGAACAATATTGGAAGTAACTATATCTGAAGATATAATTCAAATCCATCCATTCAGATAGAACTATTGTTTTCAATCAGCTAAAAAAAATTCAAAATTGCAGACCTTTAAGTGCGAGTGAGATGAGAGAGAAATATTTGAAATTATAGCTAAAGCACCTTTATCTCGGCACAAACAGTCACCAAAATTCAAAACTTCAAGATTCATCAGATCCCGGACTACCTGAAAAAAATGGTAAAAAAAAAGAAAAACTGAAAATCAAACAAAAGTTCATTAACATCAACAGGAACCCATAACCACAAATTTCTTTTAATATAAAGATTAGTTTTACGAAATTATTTTTGACGTGAATAAGTTTAATTAAATTATATTTCCGAGGCCTTCGAGTTTGAATTTTATATTTCATTGATATCGTTGAATTACTATGGATTCACTGATTAATCGTTTCATAGGCAATAAAAAGGTATATAGTGGCAATGAAGATCTGCAGAAAAGTTATGTACGATGAAAAGACAAAAAATTACTACAAAAAAGTAATCAAACGCAACAACCTTTGCCATTGCACAAGCTCCACTCACAGTGAACGTGTTATCACTAAGATTGATTATTTTTAAATTAGGATTATATCGAAATGATTCTGAAAGAGCTTCAATTCCCTTAGCTCTTATGCCATCTTGATACATCGTTATCTCTTCCAAAGAACCCAAAACCTGAACAGACTTGCAACTCATTTCCGAGTTTCTGAAGGTTAAGTTAGCTAATAATTTTGAGTGAATCATGATTCCAGCTGGAACTACTAATTTTTAGTTACTTCACCGGAAATATAATTATACAGTTTAAGCAGATAAAAAAGATTCTCAACGATAATACTTGGAATGCTTCTGCCAAAGCAAAAGCTCCAGGATCCTCCAAACGATTCCTACCAGCAACAAAAGTTTTTAGTTGAAAAATCTGTCCATCCTTTTGTGCATTTATATGACATCGTATAAGTGCTTTTCCAATAATCTGAAATTTTTTAATAGAAAGGATATAAATCTGTTCGAGATGAATTCAAAAATTGAACTATGCCAAATCTAATTACAAGTTTAAAATTAATTTGCCTTTCCTCCAGCGCCTAAGCCATTGTTATTCAATTTCAGTACTTCTAGCGAATATGCCGAAGAACTTTCCAGGAACTCCTCAAGTCCTTTTGCTCCAACTGGGCCGAATGCATTATCCGAAAGGTCTAATTCGACTAATCGAGTCCCACATCTGATCATGGAACCACACAGGAAACGCTAGAAGTTTCACTTTATGTTTCTCTTCAAAATATGTTTGAAATTAAAAAAAAAATAAGGAATGAACGAATGTAACTGCAAAATCCTTCAACTTCTAGCATACTGACATGAAGTTTAGACAGAAAACTTGGTCTGAGTAAAATGATATTCCCACATAATAAGCCAAATCATGTTATCAAAAGTATGAGAGCTCTCAACATCAGATATATTTAGATTTAGAATAATTTAAAATCACTTTTCCGCAATTGAATTCGCCTACTCTAAGGGAAATCTTTTTTAAAATATAACAATTAAGTCGAACCAGAACTGGAGGAATCTCTTCTTTCAGTCGTCCGGTAAATATATCACTCCACAATGCTCGCTGGAAGTAACTGATTGGAGTTAAAGAAGTTAAGGATAAAGAACCATATATATACATATATATTTATAATCAATGAGGCACCATTTCTAGATTGAAATTCTAACGAATTAAATGACATCAGTGACCACCTCAAATTAATATCCAAAACTGCTGGTTATCCAAATCCACATGAAATCATGGAAATGGTAAGTTATGGAAAAAGCCAAAGGCAAATTGAAACAGTCTGGTATTTGAGTTTGTCATTATCTTGCTTTCATAACTTACTTTTTTCTTCTTTTCTGCAACTGAAATAGTTCCGTCTCACGCATTTTAACTTTCGTGCAAATTCGCAGTTAGCTTTGTAACTTTGTGAATCTAATCAACTGGAGAGATTCGTGAATCTTTATGATTTATGAACATAGGAAAAATGAAATAGAATTGAACCTCAGTTCTAATATAGACAAGTGCTAAAGTAGTAAATACAAAAAAAGTATGCGTAAAGCGATAAAAAAGGTTTTTCATTAAATAAAATGTAACTACTGATCGACTAATATAATACAACAATTGCAAAATAAAATACATATGAGTATACAGTTGGCCTATAATAACAAATGATAGGTTTTAGAAAAGAGAAAGCCCTGGTCGCTCTGACCACCAATTTCTAAATATGTTCTTAAGTTTAAAGTCAATAATCTACAAAATCGAAATTCAAATAGAAATCTGTAGACATATTCTTGGCAAGATGAGTCAGGAACTCGATTTGTTACGAATTGTTTTGTTTTCTGGAATTTATTTAAATAACGTCATAAAATAAAATAACCTTCAGTTCAGGATGAAATTCTAGTGCATGAGAAAGTCGCTCTCCAGCTCCAACGCCTATAGTGTTACCTCTTAATTCTAGAACTTCTACAATATGAGCATTCTCTATAACTTTCGCCATTTTTTCAGCTAAAACAAGTATTTCATAACTTCTTAGAAAACACAATGAACAACATTATGGCTATCTCATTAATTTAAATTGGACATTTAAAATGTTCAATAAGAAACAGGACACAAGAACTGAACTAGTCATCCTACTGAATGATCGATCTAGTCAACTTCCATCAAGTGAAGACTTCCATAGAGATCTTCCTTAGGACTAATATTAAAAACTATAGCTATCTCAAAAGATTATTAGAATTGAAAAATAAAAAAATTCAAAATTTTGGAGAAATCATATGGAAATTTATCAAATATGAAACTTACTCATCCCTAACATTCACAACTTCCGCAATTTTATGAATTCCTTTTAGTTATTTCCTTACAACAAGCATAAGTCAAGAAATTTTCAAAACAAGAAAAAAAGCGTAATAATAAACCATCATTTTCGTTATCCAATTTTTGCTGTTCGTCACGGAATGAAAGCATCCATTCACCATTTACCTCGACCGACTCCTTCATTATTACTTCCGCTTCAACAAAATCTATCAAACTTCTAATACAAATTCTTTAAATAAATGAAGCTTACGATTATTCAAAGCTGACCTTAAGAGAATACAACAATTAACATTAACATGAAGATGCTATAGCCAAATGATGAAAACGACGTAACTGCCTCCGGATAAATGCAAACAAGGTCCATACATCAAACATAGATTATTGTTTTCTTCAAAGACAGACAGAGAAAATATAGTTTTTGATCTAAACTCTTTTCAAGCAGAATTGAATTCAAAGTACATGTGAGAAAGATAAAACTATTTTGCAAAGAAAAAAGAAAAATTATTGAAGGATTTTTATTTTCATCTGAACGTAAAAATAAGAAAATAGATAAAAGAAAAGACACTGATGAAGAAAATCGTCAATAAATAAAATTATCAAAGGAAAAGAAATTTCCATACAGCTGGCGAGACAAAAAATGCCACGTGAATATAATGAAAATAGAACAATAATTTTGTTCTCATCATTATTCTACTTTCAGTTCTGCATAAAGACAGAGATAAAATTAATTTCTTAGTAAGTAAGAATGAGCAGTTTATCGATAAGAAAATATAAACGTTCTTCTCTTCGTCATTAGTTAAGTGTAATTCAGAAATAACTCATTTTTACAGTAAATTTCAGAATATGTGTAAGCACTGTTATGAAATCATAGAACTAACAACAATGATAAATATAATCCCTATTATCCAAGAATTAAAAATCTGTATATTTAATCATGTTTCAAAAACTTTTACATAATGAAGTGGGTGCTAATAAATAATCAAATAAGCATAAATATTTGCTTTAATTTCTTTACGTTCATTTTTGAAACTACAAATTCATAAGACAACATACATCAGTTTAGGTCAACATTAAACACATTAGAAGTTACCGCATAATTTCTCAGTCCATTTGGGATGTTCATGCCTTGTTAAGAAAATATGAAGAGAAATAATGAAATTAAAAGATTAAAGAGTTCAAAACGTCATGTGAAATACATACCTGTCTTATGGAACATATTTCAATAAAAGCATAAAACAAAAGATATTAATCAAAGAACTATTTTTGTGACATCAATGGTTCTTTCAAACCTCGTTTTAGCGCTTTGCCTTCTGAATGCAGTTGCTGCATCTTACTTCCAACACATGAAAAATTTTTTGAAATCGGTGATAGAGTTTTGGATGGAGCGAATGCTGCACTGCTTGATCTGAAAATATTTTCAATAATTCACTTTCGTCTTTTTTTTCTTTGTCTCAAATGATTAATAGCAATCACAGATGCAAACCAGAGATTTGATGACGTTGTTATACTAGGTGCTATATAATGCAAATCGTTCATAGATCAAATTATAGTATAACTTCGCGGGGATGGAACATGCAAGCAAGTGAACCTTAATAGTATTGTAAGTGTCGAAAAAATTCAAAATAAATGAAGCTACTATACACAAATGAAATTGCTGATATGAACAATGGAACGATCGTAAATTTTAGCTGTGCATAAACTAGATATTTAATTAACTTCAATCAATGATATAATGAAAAGCTTACGCTAACATAGATGATTCTGTCGCGTATCTTTTAGAAGCCGTAAGAAGAACAGCTGGCATATAACTTACACCCCTGAAAAATTTTAATGCATCCTCCAACAGTAAACGATGAAAATCATAGGCAAAAAATATCTAATAAAATTATAAAAACATATCATATAATTTTCTTGAATCAATATCATAATAAACGATACAGATGATCTTCATAAATTTTCAAAAGCATTGTGATATGGGTAATCGTTACATTTTTGTTCAGATTTTAATTACTCATAGAGTTAAAAATCCTTTAGTATATGATGTTTCAAAGTTAACATCAATTTAAAATTAATGCTTACTGTTACCAGTAAATTCTGTTCTCTCTTTCATACTTCCACAGCCTCATGTTTTCCAAAAAGTTTTATGCAATAGAAATATAGTGGTTATTTTAAACTGAGTCATCGGATCTACTTATGAATGCCACTGATTTCCCAAAGAAATAAAACCTTAACCACAGCACTTTTTCTGAACTAGTAACATAAAAATGCTACAAACTAAAATCCTACATCTCATACACTTAGGGTTGTGAAATGTTAACGCACCGCTTAGCGGTGGCGACTACATTTCTTTGTGGTTCCTGGCCATAACTGACTGTTTCGATGCCAAAATGTTCGCTGTATTCATGAATTATGCGACGCAGCTCCGAATGCATTGGTGGAAATGAGTGACTAACAGACGTCACATTTGGTTGCTGTAATGAATGTCCTTCTCTTTATTTGTTTCTGAATCAGTAAAGCCAAGGATGAATATGTCCCAATAAAGGTTAGAACTATACAACCACCGATGCAGACCTATTTTTCATTTATTTGTATTTGACACAAATAAGAAGTAATTGATTTGAGCAGTTTCAATGTTTATAGAGTAATTCAGTAATAAATACACTAATACAAACTAATTTTGAACCAAAGCAATTGCAATGCTTCTCAACTATGAGTAAGCCAATATTGATTTCTTCATGATAATTCAAAGCAGAGAGTTAGAAAAAAAAAAAAACTCATTCGTTATCAAGACAACATAATAATTGAGGATAAAAAAAAAAGTGTATTTTGCATGTCCTCCAAAAAATTGTATCGAAATTATAGAGAAACTTACAGCATCTAAATCATGCAGAAGTTCAATCAATGTGTCTTCGACGTCCAAAATGTCTTTGTAATTCGTTTTTAACTTATTTTTCAAAAAAGCAGATAAAGCATCAACTGCATCTGGATGAGAAATATTTAATATTCTTGCCAGTTTTTTATTTCTCAGTGCTCGTTGACATTCTACATCGCATGGAAGGCTAAAAAATTGTTATCTATTGTTTTTGAAGAAAAACGGTAACAGCTAAAAAACCACAATAACATCAGAAAGTAATAGGAAATTCGATAAGAGCAAAGAATTTTTACATTTTTATGTTTTACAATTTTATTTTGTATTTTTGTATTTGAACTGAACCTCATAAGCTAGCAAAATTTTTGGCGGTATTGGTCAGTTTGCAAAGATTAAAGCTAGAAAATAATCATACCAACGATATTTTTCTGCGCTTAAACTTTTTTTTAATGGACGTTTCTCGACAGACAGATTCGAATGGTTATCCTCCATTACTTTTAGTGATAACAACTTTTGGTAAGCCTTTTCAACATCTGAACAAGGCATTTTAGACGATTTCCGAAGACATGAGCAAGTGATGATCACTTCAGTTGCACAAGAGCTGAAATTACAAGTAAAAATAAAAACAAGTCAATGAAATTACCAGTCAAACCGTTCGCACACTGTCATTCTTCTTCGTGCAGATTCTCACAAAACTTCGCAATAAGGATTTGCCGCAACCTCATTTATTGCATGTGTATCTATTAACATTTAAACTTTTAAGTTTCCAGTTGACGACTTACATAGTGAAAAAACTATGCCTGACAGAGAAAATCTCAAAAAACTTAGCTTTTAGGACAAGGAGTATCGCCGTGACATGGAAGGCCACAGATGTGATCACAAGATTCTCCAACTCTTTTTTTAATACATGGTTGCTGACACGAGATATCATTTACCAAGCACTGTCCTACGTGACAAATTCGTTTACATCGATGTACATTGCACAACAGTTTCTTATCACACGGGCGTCCACAAGAAACATCGTTTAAAAAGCATGGAATATTTGCGCGTATCTAAGAATAAATTTATCATTCAAGATAATTAGAAAATCCAATCAGAAAACTTTAACAACATTACTGATAGTGAAAATTTATTAGAAAAAGCAGCTGGCATGATTAAGTGGCTCTGAATTTTAATTCTAAAGAGATGAAGAAAAAAACAAAACCCAATTTTCGATTACTCAAGTAGAACTCAATTGTTTTAAAATGATCTTAAAATGAAGAGAAAAAAGTCGATGTTTGACTGATAGGCGCAATGTCAGCATAACTAAGAGGATATAATATGAGCCAATTTTCTCATATACTCAACGATGGAAAAACAGGAGATGGAACAATGGAACTCAGGATCGATCAGTATTTTACAAGCTTTTGCCAATAATAAGATTTTGAGAGAGAAACCTCGTGTGCACCGTAACATGGCTTCTGAGTAAGCACAGTACAAGGTGGACACTCAGGCTCAGCATGGCAGTTGTGCATTGGAGGATGATTACAGGAATGTTGTCGTGAACACGGCTGATTGCAAGGTGGAAGTGGTGTGCCGCACGGGATCGGTGGTTCGCGGACGGTCTGCCCACACAAACAGTGTTGTTCCTCGAAACCTGCAATGTAATGAACAAAGTGAAGAGCAGCTGGAAAATATAAAGTGATAGAATAAGTAGAACCACTTGTAGATTTTTTGAATTCTTATAAGCAAAAGAAAAACGTGAAAAACATCACTTTGCAATATTTCAGTAATCTACAGTATTTTATATATTCATATGAATAATGAAGATGGAATACAAAGCTTGAATCTTAACCAATCGAGAAAAGTAAGACTGTGTGTACAATTTCACATTCAATTAGAAGAGAAGAATGAAAAGCAAAAATACATTTAACGTACTTGCTTGCAAACATCGAGAACATTGCCCAACGTGACATAATCGGTCACACTTATGAATTCCACAATTCAGTTTTTTACCGCAGATCTATAAAACCAAGAATTTACGCTCACTATAAAAGTAGAAAGGCGAAACAGACAAATGCAAATTACCTGCATACAAACATGCTCCTCATCAACACAACAAACAGCACGGCACCGATGATTCTGGCAGGTCTTCAATTTTTTACACCGTCGCAGACAAAGATACGGATTTTCGGCTAGAAAATATCAATTTATGAATTAGAAACACTGAACTTTATTCATACAAATCCATACAAGTTTTCAAAAAAATCGAAACGTTCTCTTTCTAGGGCTATTACAATCTTTTATTACATTAGCTTAAATCTTATCCTTAGAAGGAATTACAAATAAGTTAAAACTCAGTCTTGTTTCAAATAAGTGCATACTTTGGATGACTATTAAAATATTTCAATTTCCAGGAGAAGTGTTATTAATGGCACTTTTTAAATGAGGTTAATGTTAATTTTTCTTCTGAGAACGCTCAGACATAAAATTCATACCTGAATAAAGAATAAATTCTTTGCATGGTATTATTTTTTTCAAGGCTTTACACCTGCAACTTATCAAACAACTTGAAGGGCAACCAGAACAGGATCCCACATGACATAGTTGAATGCAGCGATGCGGTTGATCTGAAATTTCAACCGATACACTGAGCTCGTTTTATCCATTATAAATATTTCCATAGATAGTAAAATTATAAGCAGGAAAAGAACCGCAAAAAGTTTTTTTTGCCAATTTACATGCCATGACATAAAAAGATGTCCACAAAGATAATTTCCATCCGTGCATCAGAAATGATGGATGAAATCCAATTACTGGGATAGTGAATAAAATACATATTTCGAATATTGAAAATGACAATCTTTTGCATTCTACAGCTTCAGCTCTAAATACAAACACTGACAATATTTTACGGGTCATTAAAATGTATACCCTCTGGACCACAAGCTAGAACTTTGCCGCAAACACTTTTGCATGTGGGAACTGGATCAGTACAAGATGTTCGCTCCATATTCAGTAGCTTTGCAATAAGTGTTCGTCCACAGGGACAATATTCCTTCTTTTTCGGTGATAAACTACACAGTCCACAATCATCTTTTCCATGTTTGTCATGACATCTGAACTAAGTTTTTTTGATTTACAAGAAGCACCTTTTTAATCTTTTGGTCTATTCTCACAGCGTAATTTCTCTGGAATTGATGAAGTCGTATGATAAAAAATTAGAAAAAAAGGTCAATTTCTCCACTTTTTTTAAAATAAAATCTAATATCTGGGAAATATAATCAGAATAAAACTGATAAATTATCAACAATTTTTAATTCAACTACAGGGATTAATACTAGCACCTATGTTCACTGAAACTCCAGTGCTTTGTAAAAAAGAAGGATATTCAATGTTATTTTTCTATCTTTTTGCTACGTTATGTTATTTTTTACAATATCGATGCTACTATCGGATAATATTTAATAAATAATAGATTTTTGGAGTTGAACTTCAATCCATAATTTTGTACTTTTTACACGTAGTTTTAAGCAAAAAAAGTATTTTTTCCTGTAACATTAGCAAGGGAACAGGAAAATTCATGGAAAAGGATTGGGTAAAAGAATATGAATTACTTGAGTTCGCATTTATGTACACCGCATGCATACATCCCAGTGCATGGAGCACCACAACTAAATGAAGTAACTTTCAAATTTAAAGCTGTACAAGGCACGACACGCTCTTCAAGACCACAAAAACATTCTGAAACGATTAAAAAGCTAATTATTAAAAATTTGAATTTAGAAAGTTATATAAGCATTTATACATAAATATTTGTGATGCTGTTGTCAGATTATTTCATTATGAAAAAAAACTTGGATAAATTAAATTGAGGAAATTACTTTGAGTAACAACATATTCACAAACGCTACAATCTCCTTGGTGACAAGTAACTTCGCATTTATGTAACCCGCAATTGAGCGTCTTCCCACACACCACTGAGCACTACAACAATTTTCAATCCTTCAAAAGACTACAACAGTTAAAAATAGTTTGTTAACCAGTAACTGTTAAGTTCAATTAATCGTAATGGGTAAGTTTAAGCCCAAGACATCTGCTTCTGATGACACCACCGTCTCATCAAAAGAATATATCTAAATTATTACAAATTATCTACACGTCAGTCCTTGGTATTACTAAGCCAACAAGTGAAACATGACAATCTACGCAAAGTTGAATTCCAAGATGAAAAAAAGAATATTTACCTTAAATTCCAGTTGCTTACCGCAGCGACCAGCAATAGTCTCCCGACCACAGTTGCATTTTTGAGTAAGCGTAAGCAGACATTCTGCACAAGGCCCTGGATGACACTGGTCTGTACACGGATGAGTACAACCGGCACCACGAATTTTCCCACAAACTGAATTGCAGGAGTGAGGCATATCCGGGAATCTAAATACAGCTTTTTATGAATGTGAAAAATAAAAGCTTTAACCTTTATTTTTCTAAAATAACATAGTGAACAAATTCCCTTGCCTAACATTAAATAAATGGAAAATCTTCTGACCACCTCCAAGATGTATGCACGACCGAGCTCTGACATTTAATTTCGATTAGTCCAACTGTTTAATAAAAATTGGTACTCACTAATAATAATTTTGAAAGACAAAATTACGTGGTTCTTACTTAGAAACAAACAGTTTTTTATTTTTTAAAATTAGGAAGAATCTTTTCAAATCGCTTTAGAAATAAAAAAATTGAACTAAAAATTTGATGGTGAAAAAAATATAACATATATAAAAATGTAATATTTTTCCGATACCTTTGTGTTGGAGGATTCAGCTTTTTAGTACAGAAACATCGATACTGTTTGGGAATTTCAAAAGTAACATTCTGACAACTTGGGCAACGCCAGCCGATATCTGCTTGGAAACTTTTAGCTGCCCACTGCGTTATGCAACCATATGAATTCGCACGATTAATATGGAACATATGGTAACATTTTTTGCAAGTCCATATCCACTGAAAGAGTTCGTGCTTTCTTTAATAAAAACAAAACTAAAAAGTCTAATGAAAATTGATTTATCATCTAATAATTTTGAGCTATCTTTTGTAAGCAAACAATGAAATAAAAGCTGTCAAACTACTGCTAACCTCATTCACCGGTGGAAACTGTGAAACACTAATTAAAGTGTAAAATGAACTCTTAAAACAAGAATAGCAGGAATAACTGTGGTCGACCACATCCAGAAGAATAACTTTGTTGAGTTACCTTTATCTCGCTTAGGAGATGATAAGAATTTTTATTAACCTGGAAATGAAGTACAAAAATGAAAGAAGTACCTCACTAGCACGTATGACTTGGCAGCAAATCATGCATTCATAGCTTTCTTCTTCCAGCTGCTTCTTCAGCCTGTCTGAAAATTTAAAAAAACTGATCAATATAAATCTCGAGTGAAATTTTTCAGATTTTAAAATATGGAGCAATGAATTATTCTACAGTTTGTAGCAATGTCGATACTTTATTAATCATTCAAGGTCATCATTCAAGGCTGGTTTCGAATAGAAATGGTGTTTCAGTCATAATCAAGAATGTTACACATCACTTCGTCTTTCTTGTTGTTTTTCCAAATCATAACATGGCTCTCAAATCAAGGATAAAGACCAAACTTGATCTGGATATGCGTTATAGATTGTAGCAAATATTATATCTGCTCGAATAAAACACATATTTCAGACAATTCAGACAAACAGCAAATTGACCTCGTAATGTTTGCAGTGATTCATGTTCGCGATGAGTCATCGCCTTATTATTTCGAAAAGTTCCGTTTACAGAAAGCGGTGTTACTGAATTAGAATTATCTGAAAATAAAAGTAAACACTATACTTTTCAATCTTAGATATTGTTCTTAACAAATCCTAGGGTATCAGAACATTGAATAGATGAAATATGAAATGTGTAAACAACCAAAAAAGAATTGGCAAAGTTTTTATCTAAATTTTGAAAAAATTGAAAAAAAAAGAAATTGAAAAAAGAAAGACAAAAAAAACTGATATAAGTTTTCAAAAATCATCTGATTTTGTATGGGAATGTTAAGTGAACATGTTATCTTTATTTGCACGCCAATCCAAAAAAAAAAAAAAAAAAAAACAAACAAAACATAAACCATACTATAAGATCATTCGATGCTCCTAAACGCGAATTATTTATAAGAACCAAAATGTTTGTTGATCCTATATGAAAAAAATGATTTCCCCCCTTCCCCTGACTACAAAACTAATCAAGGTTAACTGATTTCAAGTAACACTCATTTTCGCCTAATGATAAAATACTTATTCGAAAATTTTTACCGTAGAAACTTTAAAAATTTTTATGACGGTAACAAAATGTTAACATTACTGAAAAAGTAAATGACTGAAGTATTTGCGTTAACCTTTAAAAAGTCGACAATCATGTGGTGCTGTAATCAACTCAGTTTGACCACGATAGCTCTCCATAACATATGAAGGCGGACAGCCATAGCCTTCTTGGACGTCAACTAACCCACCTTCTAAAGTTTATCTCCAAAAGTGAATTTCTTTTTTTTTAATATTTATTTTTTATTACTTCTAGAAGTAATCGTTTGCAGGAGATGGAATTTTATGGGAATGAGAAGGTAATGAAAATTTTATTACGTCGAACCAAACTACGATATATTTTTTTAAAGCACTAAGCAATTAAGAGATATTTGAATAATCAAAAGTCTAATAAATAGTCTCAAGGGCTAATCAGTATTATTCTAGGAAGTAAATGAACGGTTTTATTTGTACACTGACCAAGAGAGATTGGATAATCTTCACTTTCCCTTATCTTTTTCTTCCATTATATAAACAATCAGTACAAGTTCAAATCCTAACTCTCATTACTTTGCAACCAATAAATCAAAGTAAACAAAAAGACATATACCTAAGCTTAGTCGCGATAACTGCTCAGATGGAAGTTCTTGACAATTATGCCGCAAATCCTTGATATCTTTCCTTTCTGTTTTGCAACGATGCATTTTTCCACCTTTTCTATAAATTGGCATTAAGATTCAAATAGATGCTTTTGAGTCTTTCATCTCTTACAAAAGCAAGAAAAGTAATGAAAAATATTGCAGATAAACGAAAGTCGCATTAAAACTAACATAGAATGACGATTATATGCTGAGGACGATGATGATGATGGATGAATAGCACCAATGGCATTTAAAGATAAAGGAAGTGCTACAATAATAATTCATTGATTAATACATTGCACGCATCATTAGTAGAATGTAAAAAAGCTCTGAAGATAATACATATTAATATGATAATTAAGGCAAATTATATTCAGTGAAATGACAGCATAAAAAGTTACCATCTTTATGAAAGCGAGGCAAATAACTGTCAAACTGATATGATGGGGAATGATTCGTAAAAGGTGCAAACTGCATTTCGAACTGAGCGTCTCTTTCACAGGGTGGTACCACATTGGCATTAAACATATTGGCGGGTAGTACACGCGGTGGTATGTCAAAAACAGCAGGTGGAGGTGTTGAAAATTCCGCAAACGGACCAAAAAATGCCGGATGATTACGATATCCATAATAAGTCGATCTACCTAGAAATTATAATAGTAATATTTAATTTTCATTTGTTGACCACTATGAAGAGCTAAAAGTGCTATGACTTATCGTGCATAAGTAGGCAGTATGAGTATGGCATTGCATAAAGTGAATTCAAATACAATCGCATCTTTTGTAAGATTTTGTAAGAGTCTACAATATTAGTTGCTTAATTTGAACAGATCAATTCAAATTTATCATCCTATTAAACAATTATATAACATACCTCCTCTCCATCTTCCACCAAAATATCGCCAGTTTTGTGCTGTCGTTATCTGTGTACCATTAGTACAATGATTATTATTGACAGTATCAGATGCTTTTGACACGTCCTTTTGCATACTTCCAGAATATCAAAGTAAATTTTCGGTGATTGTTTGGACGGACCACTGAAACAAAAAATTTATAATTTATAGTATAGGCTTATGTGAGTTATAGAAATGCAAAAAACAAAACTCCTTGATGCATTATTTGAAACAGAGAAGTTATAATACCCAGACACCTATCTCTTTTAAATTTAATTTCCAGTTCTATCGAACTACTATTCAATGGGATCTAAGTGGAGTGAAAAGTCCACAAAACCTAATGGAGTACTATTTCGGTCAAAAATTCTGATCTTAGCTTGTAACCAAGAAACTATCATTTGCAAGTATGGGATTTCGGAGTAAGCAAGTAAGGATGGCGTGTTGGCTACTTCGTTCAACTAAGGGATAAGAAAGAGAAGGAACTGAAATGAAAAAGACTTATTCACTTTTTATTTAATGAAGCAAGCTTGGCATCATCATTCTTCCTTCAGTTACTGCTACAGAGAGTGTGTGTAAAAGGTTAGAGAACTATTTGGTAATGAATACCATATTATTAGTTATCATTAACCATTAGCCAATATATTTACTGATTATCACTAAATGACACCACTACATCCATCACCAAACATCAGTAACCAAACGCTGAATTTGTCAGATTTTGTGACTTCTTAGAAGAACTAGAAAGATGGAAGAACTACGATACAGGCTTAAGCTATACGATACCAATGCAAGTTTATAAAATCATCTGAATGAGATATGCGCAAACAACACGTGGTAATCATTAACGATGTTGGGAAACTTTCATATCGCTGCACATGTGCACTTCCCTTCATGGTGACAAGCGTGCAGTACGGCAGTTGATTTATTCATCCCTTCATTACAATCATCAAATACTACAGAAGCCGCCCATCTTTTACTTTATAATGAAATGGGGAAAGGGTAGAAATTTAAATTGAATGGAAATCCCGAACTTTCTCAAGACATCATTTGACCGTGATGTATTTCATTGCCGTTTGGTAAGAGTAATGATTTCTTCTTACCGGAAGAATCCACCATCTCACTGCATGCTATCATATACATCAGTCATTTAATCATACTTTGTTCATGCATTATGCGTTGTGTAATGAAATCCTATACTGTATTAGCAATAATATACACAATTTCATATGTAATTTTGAGAAATTTAGAGAATTATCCAGCACTTCTGAGATAACCCCTCTGATGACATGTTGCACTTCTCAGTAGACTCTCTTTATTTCGGATCTCATGCAGTTCATAATATTTTAGGTATTTTAAATGTTTTCTCAAAACTGTTTTCTCTATTTGGAATTTAGTTTTAATCTACCGTAAACTACCTAAAACTGCTATCGAGTCGGTGGATTTAATAACTTCCATATAGTTTCTCTTGTTCATTTCACCTAGACCTATCATTCTCTTTTATGATACTCGGTCAGATAATCTAGTTTAAATCGAAATTCGAGAATGAGTGACTGTGCATGAACTAACAGAATTAGGATTTTAGAGGTTGCATTATGAAGCAGGGAGAGTACATGTATCGCAGAGACGAACATCGACACAGCAAGGCGGAGAATAGGTGCTTTGGAGAGAATTAGGGATGTTAATGCCTAAAAAAGACAGTGCTAAGGCGACATGGAAGAGAAGGAGGGGAAAGGTTGGGATTCAGATAAATTTTGCTTGCTTATCTGAGGTGACAGGAAGTAGAAATCACCTTAACCTGGCCAAAGGGCTGTCCTACTCCCTAATTTTCTTCGAATATTGCTAGCATTGTGTAGTAGTAAGTTAGAAAAAGGTTGCACATATTAGTGACAGGGATGTGGATGAATAAATGATAGATAAATGAACTGACAAATAGAAATAGCAATGAAGTGATAGGTATTAGATCAAATCTTCCGGACTCAGCATATTACACTAAACTTTAAAAACGAAGAGATCAGTATCGTTTGAAATAATTAATTGGTGTGAGTAAAGTATCAAATGTAAATTGAAATCCAAATAGTGGCATGGATATCAAAAACGGTAGCGTCACTGATATTTTATCCAAGGCCAATGCAAGGATTCTGTTCTGTGCATTGGATGCGATCGATGGTCCGAAAATAATTGTGTGGGATCCAACTCTTATCAAACAATTCAACTTAGTCAGTGTTGTTAGAAATATCTTTTAATAATTTATTAAATTAAAATATTTTTCTCTGTGCTATATTTCATCTTCTTAAAATTGCACAAAAATTTAGGGTAATTCCATCATAATTTAAATTTCCGGTATTAGTTTTCGTCGTCGATATCAGAGTATTTTGTCTGGCGTCACCAGTATTGTTAGAGGTTGGGAATGCTTATCACATTGCAACCTATGGATGACTACTACCTGTTTAATTTGGTGTTGTAAAAAGCATCCTTATATACTAAGTTCATTTCTGTTGCAAACTAAGTTTTTCTCCATTCACTGTAGACAATAAAACAAATATTTGTAAAAAAAGCATCCTTATATACTAAGTTCATTCTGTTGCAAACTAAGTTTCTCCATTCACTGTAGACAAATAAACAAATGCACTTCAATTCTTATTTGTAGGTGACAACAACAGAACAATTGAAACAGCACAAGGTTGTATCTATGCTGCAGCTAGATTTTTCGCCAAGGGTACCACAAGTGGAACATAACCATATCGTTTATATTTTATCGACATCTAATTCATCTGTAATCAATAAGTTAATTGCATGCCTCAAACACGCTAGATCCGTTAATGTAATTCTTTATAATTTATATTAATAGTTCGTAAGTTTATTTAATAATGCATTCCTATCCATCTGTTTCTAATCACTTATCAATTCGTCGCTCTAAAAAAGTGATCCATACTTTTTTCCCTTTTCTCTTTACATATTGCATGTTGCACTTCTAGTCAAAACAATTCAGTCCAACATTTTTCTTTCTTGACTGAACTTTGAAATTACTCAAATGTTGAGCGAGCAATAATCGTTCAAATTTTTTGTGACCAACTAGTTAATCTTTCTTTCACAGTAAAGAAATATATCTTTTGAAGGATAGTCGTCAGCACCACGCTTTGGTAGTCCCAGAAGCCTCATTCATGATTCGGGATACGTTAAAACAGGACCGAGAAGCAAGCTCAGTCTTGAAAACACTTGAATCACTGCCATTGAGGCTTTTTCCACTCTACAGTGATTTTCTCACTCTTCTTATGGATAATTTGCCGTCAAAACTTCTTTTAGATAGCGTAAGAAATATTTAGCTAAAAATAAGTTTATGTTTTTGTCTTTTTTTCTTCTCAATATTAATATTATTATCTGTTCGAAAGAAGGATTCAGTGAGCTTCAGGATTGGACAGAATTGCAAAAATGCGCTTCAGCCGTAAGACAGCTTGAACTTTTAGTGGACTGTTTGCCCAACTTAAGGTGCAAAGGAAAATGGGCGGCGCAGATAGTTGAAATTGTGAAGAAAATGAGAACTCAGGTAAATGATCTGTTCCTTACTTGATATTTGTCGGGTTCAGAATAATGATGGCTTTATGTTTTGAATAATCAATGTGTTTTATCTAACTCACTAATGTATGTCATTGTATTTCGAGGGAAGCTTATTTTAAAATTTCTGCTGTTTTAGGAGGAAATGGAGTCTTTGTCGGGGCATAATGATTTTCAAATATCGGATATTATCTTAATCGATAGATGGATTGATCCTTTGACGCCTATGCTGATACAGTTAACATACGCTGGTTTAGTTGATGAAATATTTGATATGGGTGCCACAGGTCTTTTTTTTTATGTGTGTGTATTTACTGTACTCGTGCACTTATTCCTCAACTGAATTTCATTATTTCTCTATTATATACTTATTAGTAATTTTTAGATAATACCAGTAGTAATAACTATGAATTTTTAAATCGAGCTTTACATTTATCACTTGTGTACTAGAGAAGGCCGCAGCAGTTCCTGCAAAAATTGAAAAGTCTTCTCCTCTACCGAGATTCGAATAGTCAGATTTCAAAACATGCACGCGCCTTTAATTGTTGTGAATTCTGTTTCGTTGTAAAATAGCTAAGGACATCTCTTGACAAAATTTCAACCGACAACAGCAATATATATCCCGGTATTAGGAGTACCATGAGAAAAGTCCTTAGAAATTTTGAAAAAAAAAGTTTGCACTCGTGGTTCTTTTTTGACCACGCGGCACGCATTGCAGGTTTTCCGGTTTTAGAGCAATAAGATCAAGTATATATTTTATTCAGGTAACATTAAGACATCAAAAATAAGGAACGCAAGTGATTCAGCTGATGCTGCTAGTGAAATACCCTTGCATGACCCACTTTTTAAACTGATCCGAGATCTTCATATCAAAGACGTTGGAAAGCAAATAGGAGAAACGCTAGTAATGCTTCGTGACGAACGTGTGGTATATTTCATTTACCGTTCAATGTCTAATATTTATTTATACTGTTTTTACATTTTAATCAACGTCCATTTGTGATATGTTTGATATTCCTAAGATTTTAGCAATAAGCATACATAAAATGCTTATTTAGTATTAAAAACATAATTGTTAGTACTCATTCCACCAACTATCTGCATATCATTCAGCCATTTATTCACTTATCGTTTTTTGTTCCTCTCCCATTACAGACGTTTGTAGAGATTAAAAGAAAATCCACCGAGTGATTCGTTAGCAGAAAGCAAAGTTTTTGTTCGCAGACTGCTTGACATGCAAGGAAGCGAAAAACATGCCGATACTCATACACTGATTGCCGAACATTTGATGAGCTTTATTCGTGATGATTTGCGGTACTCCACCTTTCCAAAATTAGCAATTGGTAATGATTGATAATTCCACTCATCAGTAGAGCACCTCAGAAACAATTCCGAATATTATTTAAAATACTTGTGAAACTTATACCATATTTTCTGTCTAATGGCTTGAAAATTATAAAAATTATTCTAGATATTGTACAAGGAGAATATGGTGACCGAGTAATTCCGCAGCTTGAGAATCTTATTCTAGAAGCATACAATCCTTTAATTGTTTTGCGTTTCATCTCACTTCAATGTATGGTTACTGGTGGTTTCAAGAATGCTACCATTAGTACTTATGAGAGACTTTTTATCCAGGTACTTATACTTTTATTCTATATTGTGTCGGTACTTCACGTTGTTGTTTAACAAGTCTCATGTCAAATTTCCAGACAGTGAAAGGAATATCTTGACATGGTAAAATTACCAAATATGTTTGTTTCAGAGCTATGGTGGATATTACATATCATTGTGGATAAAACTGCAAGTAACTGGACTTTTGTGGGAAAGAAATAGCAAAATAAAAGTAAGTACTTCACGTTAAACAGAACTGTGAAATTTGTGTACATTGTACAGGCTGGTGGTGAGACTAGATAATTTTCAGTGCGAATATGCTCCATTTGATTTCCAAACAGCATGTCACCGGATGTCATGCTTTGTCGATGAAGAGCACAGTGTAAGTTTGTCATATAAAGTCTGGGACTTGAATACATAAAAAGAAAATTTCGAAAAAAACAGAAAAAACAGTTGGGTTATCATACCAATTACGGTCCGACTGTAAAGCTTTAATGAAAAATCGAATAAAACAGTTTCGGAACAAAAGGTGTAAGTTACTACTATGATGAGCTAATCAAAAAAAAAGAAAAAAAAAAATTCGATGAACGAAGGAAGAAACTGTATTTCAAAAAAAAAAGTTGATGAACAAAGGAGGAAACTGACTTTCTGTTCTCTCACTGCACATTGATTAAGGCATACGGAACTACGGCATATCCGTATAATGGTTACGTACCTTTAATTGTTCGGTATATCGAAACGGGTATACGAAACAATTGGCGAGATTGGACAACGATTCAGAGCGATGATCATTCAACAATGAGTCACGGCACTTATTCCATCATTTTCATTATTGGCGGTGTTACACAGGCTGAGTTGGCATGCCTTAGGAAAATACGTTTTTCAAATAAATTGTTAATTGTTTCAAGTGCAATAATAACGGGCAATAAATTGATTAACTCAATACAAAATAGTTGACTTTCAGTTTATTGCGCTATAAATCTCTGTACATTTTTCTTCGAAAAATAAATTTTATGAATTTGTTTGAAAATGTTTGGAACAGATCAGTGTTGATATGGATTATTGAATATTCACTGCATGCAACATAGATATACTTTTCCAACTTGTTGTAGTGTTGCGATAAATGATTATGGAAGGAAAGTTTGAGCAAAAAGCACAGGCTCATGACAGGATCAGACTGGATTAAAAAAAAAAAAGACTTCCATTTTTAAAAAGCAAGTAGTTTTAACCTGCAACTCATTAGCAAATAATGCAGCAATGGCGGTCCAGGTTTCTTCTTCATGAGCATCACCCAAAGGTGTTGCGTGATGGAAAATTTGTATATTTACTTTCAGAACAATGAAAACGGTTGTTTGTCAAGAAAATTTATTTGTCGGAAAGATGACTGAGTATGCAGGTCATATTCAGAAAGTAAGTTTGCAAAGATATTCAGTGAAAATGAATTTGCTTTCCTGGATTTCGGAACCGATTTGGATTAGTTTACATCCTTACAGATGCATGAAAATATAACAAGAAAAGTGGAACAACTGGTGACCGATATGACACGACAACTTATCGCAAGCGCCAACAATGACGAAGATGTTGAAGTGGAGGTAAAAATGTTGTTTGGGAAAGTTATCGGTAATCCAAGAAATGCAACTGGTCGGAAGTTAGTTCAATACTAGTTTTTTGAATATCAGTGAATTTTGAATGATTTTCTAGAGAAGTTGTATAGGAAACAGCTTGATGGCCATGTTTATTATAGAGTCTTGTGTGCATCATCTAGAACAATTAACCGAGGTGTTCGTTAATGAATTGGTCTTGACAAAAACACTATTCCTGTACATCCCCGAGAACCTTCTAATTATCGTAAATATAGATCCTGCAGTAATGTAAAACTAGTGGATCGATATTTATTTTTTAAAATGTTTTCAAGACACAAATTTTCTGTTATATATAATTTCAGTTCCATAAGCAAAAATCTTTGCCCGATGCGGAAAATTCCTGGTTCCTTTGACGCTACTGTTACTATAACTGGCAAGTTTAATATATCATTCATTTCTAAAACTCTTCATCGAATCCTTTCCAAATGAATCGAACAAACTGAGCATACATTTCGAAATATGGAAAGTCTCGAAGACTTATAAAACGAGACTAAGAGTTCCACATATGTAAAACTCACACATTGCATTTTGCAAGTTAGATAGTCCAGAAGCGTCATCAATGAGCCATGGAGAATCCATTATCAGTCACTACTCATCACCAGTCCAGCAAATTACAACCGAAGAAGACGAGACATCGGTGTAGGCTGTTTCTCACTAAAAATCTCTCATTTCTTGAAATCATAGGTAACCAAAATATGCATTATACCTTGCCATGACTGGCAATGTTGTAAATCCCAAAAGTCTAGTTTTGAATATTATGTTTATATCTATGTATTATAGAACTGTGGAACTGCTATCCTAAATTTTACCTATCTTTTATGAATTCATTTGAAAAACGTAATTAAATATCTGTGTATTATAATTTCCCAACTTTAACTATATTTAACCATATCCATATATATGATCGTCGGGTTTACTATCAAAAATTGCTAAGAAATAAAACAGATAGCTGCTTAGTACTTTAGGAATGGAGAGATCGAAAAGAAAGATTCAGCAAGAAACTCAACATCGTTCAACATCGTTACATTCCATGGGTTTGTAGAATAAACAACGGAATGTTTCCATTCCAACTTCTTTAACCTTTCAATCCAACAATATTTTAAAAGGAAAAATACTAACAAAGAATCAATTATATTCTTAAAATGTGGAATAACGATAAAATAAGCAGCGGCCTCAACTGATCAATTGCTCCATAAGATGAAAGGTTATATTGCATACATGACTCTAACTCTTGAGAGTCCAAAATCAAATATATACATATTCATTTATCTCTATGAAGTTCTGACTATCATCTTTCAAGCTTTTACAGATTTCAAGAGAAGCGAAAAGAATTTGTCACATCCTAGATTAACAACAAATTTAAACGAGTAGCAGGAAAATCATGAAATCGCTATTCACCATCCTCAAAAATGTGGAAAGATATTGCCATCCTGATGCACGCATTTAGCGGGAATGGGAAGGATAGTAATGAAGAGTAAAGCGGTAAAGGAGTTGGAAGAGTTAAGGCCATGTATACAGACTAAACAAATAATTTCAAAATGTAGGAATGGTAAACTAGCAACAAAAAATACAAAAGGATTGGAAAGAACAAAGCAGAAAGCATGTTGCACATCGAAAATTTGTATAATTACGATAGACTAATTCAGTTAGATGCAATCAGCTATGACAATGTGACAAAGGTAACATCAGTAACGCCCAACATTAAAAAATTACAAAAAAGATATGAAGGAGCAAAACTCCATCTTTAAAAGCGCGAACGAATTTTACAATTTCACCGGTACTGTTCAGTAATCCGTCTCATCACTCCTTAGACATCTTGCCAGTGGCGAAGAAGGTGGTTGTGAAGATTTCTAAAGAATAATTTCCAATAATTTTTAAAAGGCAATCGTAAATAATCACAGAAATACAATTCAAAATGATTCAGGGTATTATTAAACGACCATTCCACCATTTCCAGCTTTCATAAAGTTAAACATCTACTATGACTTTTATTAAAAGAAAACATTTTTTTGCAAGTAAAAAAAAATTGAAAAACTTTACTTGGCCACGAGGACGGAAAAGCTCGTGTTTCGCAAGTTCGAAAACATCTGCCCGCTCTTCTTTTCGGTATTGCAGACAGCGACGGATAAAATCCTGAAAATAACGAAACTTAGTTACAATCTCAACTGAACTACATACCTGAAATAAAAAAAAAAATGAAAATCAAGACTGCCTGAAATATACAACCTGAATAGACAAATTTTAAGCAAAGGGAAACTATCACTATTATAAATTGATAATATACACCATCGATAGGAAAATATATTTAGGAAAATCTCTAAAAACTCCCCACTGTTGAGAAGTACTGAAAATTATGTCAAAACTTCCAGCATATTATAAAAATAGATGTTTACCTGCGCTGCCGAGCTGACAACTGGTTTGGGAGGAAAAGTAACTTCGGTAGCTTTCAGGATAGTGTTTTCTTCCAGAATTTTTTGCTGAGTTTGTTCGTGTCCAAATGGCTGTAAAATATGTATGTGAATGTGTGGACATCTTCGTTAGCAAAATTCAAACAAACCATTAACATACCAAACAGATTTATAAAAAACAAAAGCTTACTCGTCTGCCATATAGGCACTGGTAAAATATAACACCAACACTCCAAACATCCACTTTTGAGCTTATTTTTGGAGGATTGTGACCGACAACAAAAGTTTCAGGAGGAAGATACCTAAAAACATAAAAATGCTATCAAGAGAAATATAACTCTTCCAAGATTTGAAAATCAGATAAGGAGGAACAACGAAAAAGTAAAAGAATATGAGCGTTTGATAAGACCTTCACAAAATCAAAAATTACATTAAATCAACCGCTAACCAGTACGTCCCAGCTCCCTGGGATGTGAGTTCAATAGAATCACCGTCATCAGCATCCTCCATTATTTTACTCAAACCAAAATCAGTGATTTTTATTGCACCGCTCGTGGTGCCCGACTGCAGCAGGATATTTGCCGGCTTCAAATCGTAATGGATTATTGGTGGGCGTTTTTCTGATAAATAACGAAGTGCTGACACTACCTGAAATAATCCAGACGGTCAAAGCTTACGTTGCTTTTCAAACTGGACCCGTTAATTTAAAGCAGTACTCCATCGCATATCATCGTAACAGATTAGGGACTATATAAGTGGACCAATCAAATTTCCAAAGCAGTTCCTTGGAAATTTATGTGTTCGTTGTCTGTACACTTTACCTGCATAATAATAGAGCGTGCTTCCTTTTCGGGAATTTGCTTATTTTGCTTCAGATAGAAATCGAGATCATTACCATCACAGTACTCCAACACAGTACAAAAAGAATGATTGTCGATTGTAAACAAGTCGAATAAGCGAACAATACGTGGATGATCTAATGTCTTATGAATATCTTTTTCACGCATAGCATGTTTCACATAATTTGCCTACAAGTGGTTAGTTCACCGATAATAATGCAGAAATTAAAAAAAAAATGTTTTCAAAGATACAAAAAAGCAATAGAATAATTTCATTCCATTTACTCAAAAAAAAAAAAACACATTCAATACATAAAAACTTGTGAATTAACCTTTTTATCTTCTTTCCATTCCTTATTTACATGATGAATCTTGCATGCCACATACTTATTCTCATCCAGATCAAAAGCCCGCCAAACCTCGCTGCAGAAAAATCAATTATAAATTAATAATATCAATTGAATTTGAAACAATAATATAATAACGAGTAGAAACGATTTGAGTTTCAAGCACTGTTGTTGTACAATTACATACATGATATGAAAAACTTGCTACAAAGTTTCCCAACATAAAGAAAAGATGCGTCCTAAAGCAGCCACAATAAAGGACCTACAAAAATCAAAATAATATAAAACTAATACAAGCCGACCTGAAACCACCCTTTCCAAGTAGCGAAAGTAGAAGATAGCGCCTATTGAGCAATTCGTGGTCTTTGTACCGACTTGATTCTTCATACTGAACCCGTTTTAATTCTCGAATATGAAGATTACGCTCTCTCTCTAAGCGATCACGTTCAGCAATTAGTTCTGCTTCCTCTTTTTTAAGATGTTCCTTAAATGGATATAAATTTTCAAAAAAAAAGTGATACTCCGCAATATACGACATAAGTAGACAAAATTACAATACTGCAATGAGTAACAAACTTTTGAAAAATTGACAATTGACTCATGTAACATAACCAGTTCCAAAATATCATAAGAATAATTAGTATTGAATCTCGTGAGGATCAATACTTTTAATTTTACCAAAATAAAATATTGAAAAAGTAATTAAAAAAACTTCAAACGATGAGATTCTTTAGTAGAATGTCCCGCTTTAGCAGGACGGAAATGCGCTTAAGCAGGATGACAAAAACAACACGTTACCTTACGTAAACGATAAATTTCTTCTTGCTCCAAATATTCTTGCAACGTCAATTCTTTTGGTAATTCGGGTTTTGCAAACAGTTCATCTGTGAGTGAAACAGAACTTGGCCCTGCTGATGTAGATGGAACCATACCATCCGAACTAGTCGAACCAGTCGACATTGCCCTGAACATGTAAAAATCGATCGATGTTTTATAGGACACATATATTTCATGAAGCATAAATGTAAACTTCATAGTACGCTATTTTTTTCCTTCTAAGAAAAAAGTGAATGCTTCTAAAAATTATTCGCTGTTAAGGTCTTAGATTCCAAATATCATAATTTTAACCGGTAATTCATTATTTACAATCCTATATTTTCGATTTCAACTGAAAATATGCCTTTTTTTTTCTTTTTCAAAATGAACAAAGTATTGGAGAAGGAAGGAAACAAAATGAAGGTCTTTTAACTTCTCGAAATATGTGTTCGAAATCTGACTGGATTTAAATATAACACTATAGAGTGATCGAAATAATTTCTAGTAAACAGAAAATTCCTTATTTTATACCTTTTCAAATCTCGAGCATTTCCCGTTGGTTTTCTTTTCCGAAGATTCTGCGAAGCATTAATTATTTCATTTCTTTCATT